AAACATCTTAGTAGATGCAATACAAACACAAAACTGTTTTAAAGTCCACTTTACCCTCAAAAATTTCATGGTTAGGACCCATAGTGTGGGAATAGCAGTGTTTTTGCTGCCTAGAAATACACTGCTGCTGGCAGGTCAGACACAGCCCACAGGCATGTTCAGAGGGGACCAGACTAGGACACAGCTCCCCTACCCTTCCACAATGGGTAGCTTTGATTTTGAAGGCCAGGCCTTCTCAGGAGCCCTCTCCTTCGAAGGAAAACAGAGGTTGCTGTGCTGTAGGTGGAGGCAGGCATCTACACAGCACCAAAATTCAATCAGGCTTTGCCATCCCACACACCTGGACACACATCCAGCAGCAGATTTGGGCCCCATCCCCGGGCCCATTTTCCGGTCACTGGTGTAGAATACAGGTCCTTTTCCCAGCTCCTTCTGCAAGAAGGACAGAAATCTGTGGCGAGCTTTCCCCAGGCACGAGCAGTCAGGATGTTTGCATCTGCCAAGCCACAAACTTGGCCTCATACCTGAACTGCTGCAGAAATTTCCTTTTTCAGGAGCAACAAGCAAGTTAGCTCAACAGTGGCAAGCTGGTGGCCAGGCCCCAATTTTTGGGCTTGACCATCTAGGAGCTGGACTAGAAAACGTGCCCGGAGTAACTGAGACAATGAACACACTAATGCAATGCTATATTTGCTTATCTGCTGCTAAGCACTTACTTGGCACACACATTCATGCTCTCAGCGCTGTCCTGACCGTGTGCTTGGCAAGCACAAGGTGCCACAACCCGAGCTACTCCAGCTCCTCTCCAGAGCTTGAGGATAAACTCAAGAACCTATGAGCAAGGCTATAGGTCACCCTGAACAAACTATGGTGTCAGCAGAGGAAGTGCAGAGGGGCAAGCTACGCTGTGGCTTGCACAGAGCAGCAACCTGTCTAGCTTGGCCACCAACTGCAGCACCAGCCAGGTATTGTACTGTTAGCCACCAAACTCTTCATTCAGCATCTCTCACCTGTCCTGCTATGTTAAGATGGTCAATTAAAGCATCCCTTGCACCACCTTTTGCAAAGGGCAAACAGCTGGGGAAGCAAAGCCAGGCCCTGGGAAGCCCAGGAACCACACCATGTGGCCGTGAAGGCAGGTTCTCCTGATGAGATGAGTCAAGCAGCACTCGCTGGGATCACACTGTCCTGCTGATGACAGAGCCAGGCACTTAGACTCACTGAGGTCTGGGCTAACTCCTGCCAAGGCATCCAACTTAAAGCTTGAGAATCACACACACAAAATGAAAACAGCAAGGGGGAAGAAATGGTTAATGACTCAGACTTGCTCGTCCATGATGGCACGGCATGGCACGTCTTGTGGGCTCACTTTGGAGGAATGCCTGTTTTGGCTTTGCACGTGCTGCCCTCCCCAACACWGAACAGCTCCCATGCAGGAGTGTCCTGCTGCCCTTAGCCAGGGCTGGTGCACATGGCAGGAAAGTGGCCAAGAGGAGGAGAAGTTCCAAAACCAGCCCATCTGGATGCCTCTCCGCAGAACATCCCTCAGGAGGCGGTACATTCAGTGCTATGTGGTGGAAAATTAACAGTATCAAGTTTTAGATGCCTTATGAGGATGTGGCTGGCAAGGGCTCACTCTGCACCAGAGGGAACAAGAGCCCGACGTGCTGCTGTTTGGATGGCACGGCAGCAACACAGGCTCTCTGCTACAAAGAACAGGTCAGAAAGAGCAGGTTTGCTCCCTAATGGATGGGGGGGACACTAAACAGATCAACACGGATACAGATAACAGCAGAAAAGGCAGCAAGAAGCTGACAATTCGGAGAAATGAACGGATTGCAAATTACTGTGGTCAGGTAATAAATCCCACGTCTGCACCAACTGTTGACTGCAAGTCATGAGATAGGCAGCCAAGGGGAGGGTATGRGATAAAACTGCCTGTGCCTGTTGTGCAGGCTCTGGAGCAGGAGGCAGCCTCACYGAGGCACACACGGCTCAGGGAGGGTTCCCCAAGGGGCACATCTTACCCCCAGCCCCACTTCTGCAGGCTTCGAATAAACCAAGGCTTCAGCCTTTAAGGGCTTCTCCTAAAACCTCTATTTATTCGTGGCTATTAAAGAAGGGGGACCGTGTGTGCAAGTCCTATTGCAAAGTCCTGAATTGCACGGGATKTGTGTCAAAAGGGGATTTGCCCAGAAGTCAAGGGCAGAGCCTTAGCTACAACCAGGCTCCAAGCAACCACTYGTCCCCAAGCACAGAGATAAATCCCTGCTTCCTGTTGCCTCTCCCTGGTTTCCTTCCATCCTCAGGTCTTTTAGCTCCAAATTCTCCCTTGCAAAAACTCCTGATTTAGGTGGAGAGAAATTAAAATGACAGCAAGGATGATGTTTGCATTTAGCTTCCAGAGTAAGCGCAGAGCAACATAAACAGGGGCAATCAGAATTACTACTGCAGATGTGCGCAGATCTACACTAGAAAAGAACAAAAGCTGCTAGTGCAGGTAATTCAGACCATGAACCCAGCAGAGACAGAGCTTTCTGTGGAGAGGAAAAAAAAATGGGGGCAGAGGGAGAGTATTTCAGCTAAATTACATCTTCAAGCGAAGGAAGCTTCATTGACAAAGGCCCAGTTATGTAGTGCATTATCCGAGTACCATGGGGCTTCTGCTGATGCAGAAACATTTAAGAGGAGAGAATGGYGAGGCTGATTTTGCAGTATTTACAAAATCCCACTTGTTGACCGGTCCCGTGGGGACACAAGAGCACAAGTTCACATCTGGAAGCTCCCTTCTCCAAGCAAAGGAGTCAGAAACGCACCCTGGGGTTGTTTTTGTTTTTCAAAGCAACCGTCTTCTGAACTGGGATCCATCCAAACAGCTCCACACAGACGGTCCCACGAACCACAGTGCAGAACACTGGGCGCAGCAGGGACCTAGGAGGCTTTTACTCCACCTGGCTCCCAGCTTTGAACGAGTTTTTAATGTCATCTCAGCGCCTGGTTTCTCTCTAACTGCTCAGGGGTGCCAAAGGACAAGTTTTGTTCCCCATTCTCCTCCGCCAGCCACCCTTGCTGGAGTTTGGTYACCAAGCAGCCTCCTCCGGGGGTTAATAACATCTAAGAGAAAAATCCRTGTGTGGTTTTATATCAAGCAATGCCAAGAGCAATGACTAGTGAAAAATTTCTATTGATCTGGAGTATCTCTCCTTGTAAACACCGCCTAGAAAGAATGATCTAACTTGCTGCAGTCTCAGCGCGTGCCAGGAAGATAATCCGTATGTGCAGCTTAACAGGAGATCTGTCTTAAATTCACCACCTAAATGCAAACAGCCCAGAAGTCACATACAGTTTAATGAGTGAGGAAGAGAATGCAGTTATTTTAGCAGATGCAGTAGGTTATATCAGGCCTTGCTTAAAAACATTCCTGCAAAGCCTGTCAAAACCACACGACACCAGGTTCCTGAGACAAAGCACAGCTACTTAAAAGAGATTTTGTTTAGCTGAGCCCAAACTCAAGAGGCTGCAGGAGCCTGCAGGATGTCACGCTATTAAATCACGTTCCACTACCACCAGCAAGCCCTTCTCCCTCAGCCTGTGCTGCCTGTCCCTCATTGACCCTCTGCCAAACACCTCGGCTATGTCATGATTTTATTTTGGCTTTCACCTCTTCATCAGAGCAGCCTGGTCTCCCTGTACCACCGGTTTCGAGYGCTGCTTCTCTCACCTTCCAGCAAATCTTTAAACAAAGACCGCAGCCCGCTGGTCCTGCTAGTGCAGTGCAGCTCAGYAGGGTCACTCCTAACCTCCCAGATGGAAAAGGAAAGGAAATGGAGAGAAGGGTTTCGGCATTCAGGGTGGTCTGGACCAAAAGTCTATAATATTTTTAGCTCCCTTTGCCCCAATCCCTCTCCCCAGTCTGACTGGGCATTTGAACGATGCAGTTTTAGCCTGTAATGTCTGTTAGCTTCCCGCTCCAGTGCTTCGTGTTCTGTGGGGGAAATAAGTTGTTGCTCCTTGCTGTCCTTCCAGGGCATGAAGCTCCTTCTCACAGGCAGGAGAGGATTTACAGGCAGCAAAACAGGCTACTGTGATCCGAATCCCAACCCGATTCCCTTGCTCCATCCTGTCCTGCGCTCTGTATCGCCCACCAACACCTAATAAGGATGTCCGACCTTTGCAAAAGCAGCTTGTAATCAAGTGCCAAGTGTCCTAATTACAGCAAAGGTTCTCTTTCCATCTGGGAAAAACTTAAAAAAAAATAAAAAACCCCAAAACCAAAAACCAATTTACAAGATACAAGCGAACATAAGGGTTTGTTTATTTTTCAGTGTTCCTGAATCTGAGCATCTTTATTGTTTAGGAGTTCCAACATATTTGATTCTCGTAAACCAGCATTATGTCCTCACCCTGACAAAAGCCAGCATAAACAAAAGCTCTGAAAATTCAAAAGAAAAGTTAGACCAACCATTTAGTCACTCATTCTATAACCAGAGGAGCCCGCAGAAAAACAAGTTGTAAAGATGGGAAGTGTGCCAGCATGCCATGCTCAGCGGCTGAATCAACAACAAATCTGGAAGTTTTGCATTAAACAAGACAAGGAGATTGACACAAAACAGACTCCTGAAAGCTGTTTAATTTGTTCCTCCCCAGCCTCAGGATTTTTGGTTTTAGTTATTTTTTTAAAGAGGATAAAGCAGAAGGACTCAAGTCCTCTCAAAAAGGGAACCTTCAGAGGGTTCTTTTAACCCATCTGGCTGTGTACTGAACATCCCTACAGACTCAAGGGGTATTCCTGGGCCTTGCTTAACTTTTCAGACTCTGTGCTTGCCCCACTCCCTCCTGCACCCGCTTTGCACCAGTTTCACTAAAATAACCCACCTTCAACTCCTCTTCCCCCAGCGTGACAACCAGCTCCAACAGACCTACGGGCCGAGCAGCGTCTCAAAGGGCCCTACTCCTAATATTGCGTGTTGTTTTAAAGTTCTTTTACTGCTTATGCTAAAAGTCATAAAAAAACTTTAAAAAAAACGCACAATATTAGATGGCACTCACCCTTATAAGACTGCTCCAACTCTACTTTAAGGTGCAAATGGCCTCCCCAGCAAAGTATGTGCTGGGATGGGGCACGGGGAAATGCAGCAGTCCCGCATCTTTTGCAACCTGAAAAAACAAGGGATTCGTTAAAAACCTGTTGAAACAGCCTGAGCTCTGCAGGGAAATTGGTACCAAACCACCACACAAGAAGTAGCTGAAAAGCCACTGGGTTTTCAGGACTTTATCCTTTGGAGAAATCCATATTAACAGTTCCAGATTTTGTAGCTCGCTCCCATGGAGAAGTTCTACAGCTTTCCATTCCTGGGTGGTCACTATTCCCATTTACAGATGGGGAAGCTACAGATATTTAAGCTCCAGGTGAAGCAGCAGATACAAATCACATTATTGTGCCAAAATGATCACATAAGCACCCAACTTTACTGATGTTACAGCTAAAGCCAAGACTAAACCTGAAGATTTAAAAGTTTATCTTGTGAGGGACAGGCCAGGACCTCACAGTCACGATTCTGCTGTCGCTTCTCCTCAGAGAACTGCCGAACGTCCCAGATCGSGTTAGGGCCCTTTGTCAGGTGTGGGGATACCTGGGGCTCCCATAAGCCAAGAAAAGATTCCAAGAAGAAATTCCAGACATTTTTACAACCTCGCACCTACCACCACTCAAGGGAGAAAATTGAGCATAAACAGAGCGTGTTACACAGCAAGCCACGTGCTGCTCCATGCTGTTCCTCACAGCCTAAGGATAAAAGAGGATCGATTACTTTTAAGACAGAAGGTAGAGGATAAAGGCAGGCTGTTTATTCCTTCAGTCCTGAGAACTCGGAACTTACGCCCTGCTACACTCCATGTTGACGCAGCAGGGCAAGCCTTTGCAAAGACACCTCGCATGCGGCGCAGCAAAACTTGTTCTAAAGCAGGGTTTATGGCCAGAATTGGCCCACAATGACATGGAATAAAGTATAGCCAAAAAAAGAGCCCACCCCACAAAGTAGCTCTTGCCACTCTCAAATACCCGGAATTCCTTCCCTACCTCTCATTTCATCAGTGTTATCCTGCATCAGTGCCATCCTCCCGAGCGATCCTGGCTGGACAGCACAGTCGGCTGTGGGGCGATTAGCTGTGCTAAGGACTCAACACACTGGTCATTAAGGTAGCTGGGCAAATATTAAAAAATATCCCTGCAGTTTAAGAGGGCAAACACACCTATTTTTGGTCCCAATTTACTTTTTTCCTATTTTAAACATTCTCTCGGGGTTGAAGATGTGCAGACAGCTGCCTCTACATGGTAGCAAGGATGCTACTTGCTGTAGCACCAAAAAAAAGCACTGATGACCCCTAATATTGGGAGTAGTTAAAAAGCAGCAGAAGGGCAGCCCCAAGGCAGCTTTGGGACAGTGGCTTCCCTGGCCCAACCACACACACACATGCCTGTTTCCTAGAAAAACCCCCTCAGCTGGGGGTGCCACTTGCTGCTTGCCCGGATTTGAACTAAACTAACTGAAAATAACAGATGAAGCAGAAGGAAAAACTCAACTTTGCTGCTCTGTGCACTAAAAAATACGAGTTTTGCAGCCAACTGTCCTACATCTATTTAACAGGACCCGACGCATCCATCCCTGCTGTGCCAAGGTTGTGCTCTGCCCAGATGTGTGGGCTGACAACAGGGACACGCTTTTGCCCTCAAATTAAGCTTTTTTAAGCATACATTGCCCACCTATTCTACCAAGTCCAAGAGGCAATTAGGTAACGAGCTTTGGTCAGTACAAGCATTGCTATCGCACCCAGGCTGCAGCACGCAATGCTCCCTGCACTGCAAGCAGCAAAGCCTGTAAGCAAATGAAGCTACAAGTATCTCACCACAAAAAGCAGCAGGGAAAGTTCTGATCACCTCYTAAAACAAGCAAATGCTACCAGATATTCATTTAGGCAAGTTTCTCCTTCCCCCTTACAAGGATTGGCAACCATCAGCTGCAATCCAGCCCTTCTAGCACTGAAATTGCTGCAAAAGACACAAGAGAGGGAAAGCAACCAGTTGATTTTCACCACTAAAKCCTAGCGAGTTATCAGGAGCAATGAGCAGCATCTAGAAGGAAGGACGGAGCTGCTAAACGCTGCCGGTTTGACGCATCCACGGCGAAGGGGTTTGCAGCACAGCCACATCAGGGAGATGTCCTGGGCATGGGAAGGCACCAAAGCCCTCGGGAGCCCGCTCCAAGTTCAGCCTCCTGACAAAGGCGGCAGCTCGGAGGGGAGAAAGAGCAAGTCGGAAGAGCAGGAACTTACTCGGTGATGCGCTTGGCCAGCTCCGTGCAGGCTGCTGTGGAGTTCGCCGAGAAGACCCGGTAGCCGCTTCTGGCCGCGTTCATTGCCAAGGAGTCATGCAAAGCCCTTGGAGCTCGAAAGTGGGGGAAAACAGATTTATAAGGCAACAACAGCTTCCGTGGCATCCTTTCCTTCCTCTGCGCCGCTATCACCGCCCCTTAAGGGGTGGGAAGGAGGAGGGCAACCCTGCCGCTAACTGGGATCTGTTGCTTTACTGGGATTGCTAAGTGCAAAGGGGGGATCGGAGTGGCTGTAAGGAAGCACAGCGGCTGGAGGGTGAGGGGATGGAGCGGGAAAGGTCCGGCCGGGCCTCGAGCAGCGCTTTCCAGCTCTGAACTGCTCCGGGGCTTTCSTCTCAGCAGCAAGGCCCTGGGGCACCACCTGAGGAGCCTTGCACTGGCAGGAGGTTAAAAACAAACAAACAAAAAAGTATAAAAAAAGTAAATTTAAACGAAAAACGGGCAAGGTTTGAGGTGGAGGGGGCTGCAATGCGGCCCACAGCAGCATCCCATGGGGATGGGGCAGGAGAGGAGTTGGGTGTGAGGGGGAAGAGCAGAAAAAGCAACTGCCCCCTGCCCTCCTCCAGACAAACCCGGGGACCCCGTGGGGGGCAGGGGGCTCACAAAGGGCGTTCTGGTCGGGGGGAGCTCGGTAAAGGGAGGCCGGGGCCGCAGGGAGGCTGGAGGGGCTGGCAGGAGGGTGGTTGTGCCCGCGGGGGATGAAGGAGCCGCTGARGCCGAGGGGATTCGCTGCGGGGCCCGTCCTCGTGGGCGCCCCCCGCCCCGCGGGGCCGCCACGCGCCGCCCCCACGGAGCGCCCCTGCCCCCGGCGGCCATTTTCTCCGCGGGGAGACACCGCCCCCCAGCGCCCGCGGCCATCTTAAGTGAGGGCACCCCCTCCCGCCCCGCGCTAACGCCGTACGTGTGGGGATACTATCTCCCAAATATCATCGGTACCTGCAGCGGAGGTGTAACAACGGGGCAAATCCTCTTCTCTTTAGCGGCAGCCCCTGCATCCGCAGAGGCGACTGCAGCGCTCCCAATTCCMCCCCTGCCTGGCGCTGCGAGGCACTTCCTGCGCTCACCCGCGGCGACTTCACTGCCAGAGTCCAAAATGGCCGCCAGCGGAAGCGCTGCGGCGGCCGCTCCCGCCCTGCTCTGTGGCAGCCAGCGGGCGGGRCGGAGCGTGGCGGCCGTTGGCGGTCCGCCATGGCGGCGGTGCCCGGAGGACTCGAAGCCCCCTGGGCAGCCTCACCTGTAGGAAAACACAAGCACTAAACGACTCATCCGGCCCCAAATAAACGTCCTGCCCCAACCTCAGCCTCATGGTTCCTTTATTTATTTATTTATTTATTTATTTACTTTTCCCTAGAAAGGTCCCCTTATAGCGTGGGGAAGCCGAACAGCCTCAGTTTGTTCACGAGGATCGCATCGTTTCCCTTGCCCTGCAGGGAGAGGTTTTTCTGGGCAGTTTTCTAAGAGAGCCCTTATGTAAGGACACTGCAAGATGCCTTATCAGCTGCTGGCCTGTTTTCCGTGGGCAGACATGCCAAGAATTGCATGAAACGAGGGGAGAAGGCATGTCCCCCTCCCTGAAACGAGGGGAGAAGAGGAGKGTTTTCACAGCACGTTCTCCTTGGAGGATGCCCATCCCTTATTGAGCACCTTCCTTCTCCACCTCCACCTGTGAGGTCCTCCGAGGCATGATCTCCAGCCTCCTTCCACTGAAGCAGGGTCCATGGTACCTGCTGGTGGGTACATGGCAGGGGTCGTTAAATACCATTTCTCTTCAAGCCTCGTTAAGATGTAGTGTCCTTAATGCAGAGGGGATACAAATGCGTCGTTGTTGCCCCTTCTTCCATACACTGCCATTGCACCTCCCGAGCACTGGGAAGGAGATGAGAGGTCTCACTGCACCATATCTGGTGGCTTTATTATTATTATTATTATTATTATTATTATTATTATTATTATTATTTTATTTTATTTTATTATTTTTATTTTTATTTTTATTTATTTATTTATTATTTGGTCACTGCAGCATCTGAGCCTTTCCGACCTCTTCCTACCTCTTCCTTGAGGATCACTCAAGGCCAAGGCAAGTAGTTCTGCTGCTCATATCCGAGTCAGGCGCATACTCGAGTATCTGGGTGCTCTCAGAGCAGGATAAGGCTCCCGCTGGTCCGCATGGATCTCTTGTCGCAGCCATCAGCGCTGCCTTGACAGGCTGCCAAGCGCAGCAGAACAGGCTGCAGGAGGAAAGTCATGTGCTGGCATTCAAATTAGGTCAAGATTTACACTGCTGCCTTGGCTGGCAYCTGGGCTTGCAGGTTTGGCCACTATCGGCCCATCAGCTTGTCTTGCTGCAGAGGCAGATCCAGGATTATCCTTCCCACTAAAAGGCCTTGACGAGGGCACGCAAGGAGTCAGTGGCACAGATGGGAACCAAGATCTCCCCCTTCTCCAGAGGTTTAATACCCTGCAGTGCCAGGAAGACCTCAGTGATCTGGTTGCACAGGGATGCGCAGAGCAGGGAGACATCCCCAGTGACCTCCATGAACGTTCCGATGCTTTGGATGTTACTCACTTCCCCGGAGGAGCAGACGCTTAGATCAGTTCCCAGGTCAAGTGCTTCGACCGAGCAGGAGGAGGCATCATGTGCTGTGTAGCCGAGCTCCCAACCCGACAGCCAACCCAACCACCCACATCCAACAACCCAACAACCCAACAGCTCCCAACCCAACAACCAACATCCCTGGCAGCAGCTCCAGGCCTCCCTCCTGCGCTGCAGGCAGCGGCCGMGGTCCCTCAGAAGCCAAGCGTGCTCCTCGCTGGGTCCCCCGGTGCTGCTGTGTGTCCCCTCTGTCGCGCGCGGCACCTCAGGACGCACTGTGTCCCCACGGGAGCTACCCGGCCCTGCACCGAGGAGAGCCCGGCTCGCAGGGCTCTCGTTCCCGGAGCTCAGCGGAATCAGGAATCAGCTGCCGCCTTCGCTCCGCGCTTCCAAGACGGCAGCGCTTTAAACCGCTCGCTGCAGCGTGGCCAGGCTGCGCTAATCCCACCTCCAGGCTAGCCATAACTGTGGCCGGAGATGGATCCGCAGYGTCTGCTCACCAGGTCACCAAAATCCCCCATGCTGGGCATCCCCCGGACCCTGAGCTACCCCTCGGCAGCACACAGCGAGGAGCGTTTACCAGCGACATGCAAGGACCCGCCACCCTGCGAGCAGCAGTCATCTGATCCTGGTCACAAGATCCCTGCTGCAGCAATTCCATTGTCACAAGTTGCTGGCTTTATCCCACAAGAGGAAGGAACCAGAGGAGAGGAAAAAAAGAAACAAGTTGCGGGAGGGACAGGGGATAGACTGTTTTTGTGGTTTAAGAAGCTGAAGGGGTCTCAAGGTGCCTCCCCTCAGGGAAGCAGCAGCTCCTGGGAGAGCGGGGGCACCCCAGCGGATGGGGGCAGCAGGAATCGGCTGCATGGATACAGTAGCGAAGGCAGCAGCGGGGACAAATCCCAGCTCCTGGGCAGGGAAGAGCAAGGGCTCTTCCCTGAGGCTTAACCCCATGGGAGGTTTAACCCTCCCGTGGCCCTTGTCTCCACGGGGGTCCCTGCTCAGCACCCAGCCATCCCCACGCGTGGCAGCTCAGCCCGGGATGGGCTCTGCAGGCTGCCTCGCTCCTTCCAGGGTTTTCCCACTCATTTTCAGCAGGGTGCTGCTCCYTTGACAGACCCGCTGCCCTGCTCTTACCAAGCCAGGCCTTGCTTCTCCCAGCTGCAGCAGCCCTTGGCATTGGCGTTAGGATGACCCCATGAATCTGTCCGGATGTGCAGGCTCATCGCCACCCCTTGTGTCTCACACCAGGCCTGGCGATACATAAGCCTGGGAATTGATACCCTGGGAATACCCAGAGGCCATCACCAGGACTGGGATTTGTGGCCAGCCAGGAGGACGGGAGCACTGGCTGACAGCYGGGCTGGGTGGGAGGGACGTGCAGACCCCCACGCTGGGCTGACCCTCTTCTGATGCCGCCCAGCTTGTCACCAGCCTTTGCTTTCCCAGCCGCAGGGGCTGAGCTGTAATGAGTTGGGGGGTCTCGGGGTGCCCCTCCGAGGTGCCTGGCAATGGACAGGCAGAGATCGCAGCTCTGGCGCCCRCGCCGCTTGGCAGGCTGAGGGCTACACCTGGTTCAGAGCCGGGCCAAAGGAGCAGGAAGGAGCAGCCGTGTTTACACAGGGCGGAATTACCGCCCTGCTCCCAGCGGCTCGGCTGGGCGGCAGAGTCCTGCCCCGTGGCGCGGGAGCAGCACCGGCGCCCCACGTTATTTCATTAGCGCCAGGGCGGGATTAGGAGGGCGCGTCGGGGAGCAGCGCTGCCTTCAAGCAGGTTTAGCTCCTTGGGAAAGGTTTATCCAGGCTCAGTCTCACCCGCTGCCTGGGATGCGGTGTTGTCTGCTGAGCCGAGGGGCTGGAGACCTTTCCATCCCACGGGGCAGAGCCCGGAGGTGGAATCCAGGGAGGTTCCCGGGGGTTGCAGGAGGCCGGCAGCCCCCGATGGCTCCGCACGCCCTGCCAGCAACAACACGGCCAGGGCCAGGTGGTTTTTCATCGCGAGGCTCTGACTCAGCTCGCAAATATGCGCGTGTTGATGCCATTGCAGGAAACCGCTACCGGGAAGTGGTGAGAACTCTGCAACAAGCCCGAAATTTGCCTTCCCTGAAGAAAAGAGGGAGATCAAACAGCGGCGCGCTGGCCCCCACCGCTCTGACGCCGGGATTAGTCACCGGGTGCCTTTTAGGCAGAGCGAGCCACGCATGCGGTTACTCGAGACGCTGCTCGCTGGGCGTCTGGGAGCGTTTTTCTGAGGCAGAACTGACCTCAGAAACATTAAATCAGCAGCTGGGGAGAATGAGCTCAGCTCACTCGAGTTGCCAAGAGTTTTGTGGCGGGCCCTTGGCCCCGGCGAGGCTGGGAAGGCCGTGCCGGAGACCCACCGCGAGCCCGGCAGCAGCGCGGATCCTACGTGGGTCGCAGAGCCCCCCGGGCAGTTTAGGACCTGCCATAATCCTCCTCTCCTCCTTGGAGAAACCCTTTGGCTCCTGGAAATGCCCCCACACTGCTCTGCAGAGATTGGGACTCCCCCATAACCCACACGCTTCCCACGGGAAGGACTGGCTCTCTCTAGCAGCTGGAGCCAGGCAGGGAGGAGAGCAGGGAACCTTTGGTTGCTCTTTTGGACGAGACCTGTCTGCTGAGCCTGCCTCAGTTTCCCCACGCGCAGAGCAGCTTTTGCTGTTTCTTGAGAGCCTGTGATGTGGAGGTCACCACACCAGGTGCAGGAGCAGGGCTGTGGCCACACAAATCTCCCAAATAAACCCCCCGCTCCTTCCATATCCATCCCTGTCACGGCCCGGGAAGGGCGCTCAGTCTGAGCCCCTTCCCG